TATAGAGGGGCTACGAGGACCTTTTTGTGAAGAAGGTGTAATATATTAATTTGCATTACAGAAGTTTATGGTTTTTTAGAAAAGCGTTTTTTTTTTTCAATGTATGTCATCAAAACATACATCATAATTAAAAAAAAAATGCACGTTAAATAATGCATACAATGATTCAAAAAAGCTTCAAATTACAGGAACTATTCTTGGCAGAACTGCGTGTGACTATTGTGAATCAAACACCACTACTATCATTATAAGCAGTGTGGTGTCTTTATTCCTTGTTCTAACTGGAAGTATTCTGAACTTAATCATATGGAAGAGGAAAAACGGTAGGTACATGTACATAAATTGTTGGAATCAACGCTTTTTATGCAATAAAAAGTAAGAATCATTGGTCAAATTATAAGTAAACAGAATTTCAGCATTTTCAGTTTTTCTTCAGAATAAATAAAGTTTGCACATTCTTAATAATGACTTATCGTAATTAAATGTACTACTTTCATGTAATCAAATAGGCAATTTCAAAACTCAGATTTGCAGCTTAACAAATTATATAAAAACAGAGGCAACAAAAAACTTTGTTATTGTTAAAATACACAATTATAAAGATATCAAATACGAAAATCCATATTTATATTTTCTATCTATAACGTATATTTTATTTAACTAGAAACAAGATGAAATCCTTTTATTTTTCTTAAGGTGGAACTGAAAAGGTATGTTTTATATCTGATATAATTTTTAAAAAATGATTAAGGTATTATTTGGTTAAGCGTGTTGATTTATGTTTTTGGTTTTTAGATTTATGTAAGAAGGCAGATTGACTTTATTTCTCTTTATAGCCAAAAGCTTCAAGGGCAAAGATGAGGAATGTGGATGCTCCCGGAATCATAGGTCCGATAAAATGTTTCTAGAGCCATCTAAATGTGAATTATACATTAAATTTTCAAGCAAGTAAATTATCTTTCTTGAAAAGATGTAATGTTAAAAAATCTTTACTTTTCATTAGCTTTTTCTTATCCTTTTAAAATATTTTCAAGAAATAAGTTACAATGTTCATGTATATATCATTCTACTTTAACAAAAGGATAACAATTGAGGTTTTTATATTTAGTTGACATCCGAATTCTTTTACAATTTCCTCTTTTTCAGGAAAATCAGCAACTGGTGAAGGGTAGGTAACCTTTTAATATCCTTTCAGACTTGATATAATTTTAAAATTGCAACTGACATCTTTATCAATATTCTTAAAGTTCGCTTCATATTCATATGTTTTATTTCATACTAGGGATGAATCCCATTATACAGACATATGTGTGCTTGATAAAGCAAACGCATACAAAGAACTGTCCCGTGATACCGAGGCTGTTGACAAAATATAAGGACATGTTCAGAAGTAGAGGTGTGAAAAAGTTTACTACCGAGCAACATAATCAGAAGACTCTTATGTTTTCAACAAATTGCAACCGTGCATTTGAATTGTATATTCCGCATTTTTTAAGCTGTTGATCTTATCCTGAAGTTTTCTTTCAATTTTAAATTGATTAAAGGACTTAAAGGCCGAGATTTTTAACCGTACGGTTTTCTCAGGTAAGGGGAGGGACTAAATTTTACACGCGTGGCACCCCGAGGCATTGATGGTCGTGCAGACCGTGGGAAGCGCTTATCCCTATACACAAACAGTATACACAGGAAGTCCATGGGTATTACCTGTACAGCTTGATGGCCTACTGTTCATCATAATTTAGTAGAATTCGACATCGTAAATAAAAAATATTAATAGTAATTAATGATAATTGTAAAATTCCGTAATTTCAGACTCATATCTAATATCAAACAAGCAGAAATCTGTCAGGCCGACTTTTGTAAATACTACGATATGATGTACGTCACAGCTGCAACGACTTCAGTTCGTTGTAAAAGAAATACAGGTATATTTTTAAAAGTAAAATACTCATTCTTGTCTGTCCCTTTCAAAATCTTATAAACTATTCATAATTTAGTAAAAATTAGAGCTTCGATCACGGTCATAGTGACAGTTACTTGCCGTTTGTATAAAAAAAGTCGCGTGGTCCTATTTTTAGCAAATGTACATTCTGCATCCTATTGTAAAAAAAAATTCGCGATAACGATGGTTTTGTAAAGTTAAAATTACATTCAAGTATGTGTGTATTTTAAGTAAATTTAGATTATAATTAAAAAAACTTAAAACAAAATATTAAAAACATTGCAAACATTTGTATTTCTTTCAAAACTATTTTTAACACCTGTGACCTTGAACGGAGAAAACAAACCTACAAAGCAAGAAGTGCTCGGTTATAAAAAGGAAAAGAAAAGAAAGAAACTCTTTATACTAATTAATAGTTGACCAGGCGAAGTTGTTTTTTAACAGATTTTTTTGTTTTCATCCTTAGTTATCCATTACATGCAAAATTGTTACCAGTTTATTTTCTCCTTTATTTTCATCGTAATTTTTCGCCGCGTCTCATAACAAGAACCGTTCTTAATTTTTACTAGTGAAAACAAGATTTCATTCACCAATTTAATTTTCATTAGTAAAAATATACACAATCTTGATATATTTTATTGAAGTACAATGAGAAAAAAAATTCATTTTTTTAATGACATGTTTGTAATACAGATAATTGTAATTCATTAATTATAATCAAGCTGAAATTGTTTGTACGAAATGGCTCCCTTATTTCGATGGTAATTTAGCGGTAAACATCAGAAGACCGAAAGTTAATTTGATGGTGGCCACGCGTGTCAAACAAGGTGATGAGATATACACAGGGACTAGTAGCTAAATGTCAATCAATTTCAAGTACCCAATAATGGACCTTAATTCATTTGATTGACAGGGGGATACAGACCAGGTAAATCTGAGGGCGGTGCTTATTATCTCGGGCTTTAAGCATAGATAATTATAAATTAAGCTTGATTGAATGACCAGCAAATTTCTTTATCAGAAGCATGTTTGTAGTCGACAAGAAAAATGTCTTTTCTTTGAATAAAATTATCATAACATATTATTTGTCATACTGCGGGTATTATCGGTCGGTAAGGTAAGGGATGGTCACACCTCCTTGACACCTGGACCCGTTTATATGATTAAGAGGTCTGCGTTTGCTCTGCTCCTTATTTGTATTGTTTGATTGTACATCCAAATACTCTGAAGTTGACATCAAAATGCTTGAGTTTCTGACTGACGATATCTATGTGGTTTTTGGAGACCAGGTATTCCAACAATTTATTGGAAATCCCATGGGTACCAATTTTGCCCCGTTTTTAGCAGACGTAATTTTATGCATATAAGGCAGAATTTGTTTAGTAAAAAGAAAACAGTAGTTGCGGCATACAACATGACATTTAGATATATCGACGACGTATTGTCAATTAACAAAAGTAATTTCGATTTTTTTGTCGAATCGATATGTCCCGTTGAAAATGAGTTAAATGATACACCAGAATCTTTCACATCTGTTTATATTTGAATATTTTACTCATATCCCGATAAGAATGAGTTTGAAAATACAACAGAGTCTTACACATCTGTTTCATATTTTGATATTTTACTTGAAAAAGACGTTAATGGTAAGCTAACAACCAACCTCTATAATAAATGTGATGAATATCAGTCTTCAACTTCCCTTACTTATGCAGCAATATACCTTCATCACCTGCATATGGAAGTTATGTATCTCAGTTGATTCGATAGACAAGAGCATGCTCTACATACGTACAATTTACTTTAGGTTATTTCCCGATCATGACAAGGAGCACACGGGGAATGTGGGTTGTCGACAGTGAATGCTCACTCCTCCGTAGCACCTTGTCCCACCTCTGATGTTTTTGAGGTCCATGTTTACTCTGCTCAAATTGTGTAATGTTCTGATGAATTTTGAGCTGGAATTCTGTTCATTATCTCCATATATTTATTGATAAAACTTTTTGCTCTAATAATTTTCATTATTTACATATGTTTCTTTGTATTATTTTGTTGAAATTTTGTTGTTGAATACTGTTAATTATCTCCATATATTTACTAATAAAGATTTTTTGCTCGAATACTGTTCGTTATCTCCATATATATATTTTTTGCATTTCCTTGTTAAAATATTCTTATTGTTGACACACCTACATTGAAGTTGATATAATAAAGATTATCTGATTACAGTATAGTATACAGTGTATGTGGTTTTTATCTTAAAGCTTTAGTCTCTAACAAGTGTATTTTCTGCCTTTTATTCAGTGATAATAGACAATTAATCACAACCATGGTACTTTGATTTTAACCCTCTTAAGAAGGTTTGTAGTTCTGCATATTTGCGGTTGCAAAATGTTTCAGATCCATGAAGTTACCAATGATATGCACCTTCATCCAGAATAATTCCGTGTTGTACTCAATATTCAAATTGTACAACCACAGAAAAAAGAATAAGGTATCTATCATCCTTTTGAACAAGGTCTGTTGGAAAAGAACATCGACTTTTCCCTGTACAGCTACGATCTCCTGATAATACAATAGAAATATTCCAAACACACTGCTCGTCAGATCTGGCTTCTGAAGGATTGTCTTTTTCAGTCAAACCCATTAATGGTGCTATAAGTACACGAATGTTCTCAAGAGTGTTTTTGTAATGCAAAATAAACCATATTCCCCATTGTGTCCGCCAATCTACTCTTTTGGAACTAATTCAAGTACTTTTAAAAAAAAACCAAACCAAAAAAAAGTCATAGAACGGAGCTCCATATCCCCTTATCTCGTCCTATCATTAAAACTCTAATGAAGTCGAATATGACATGTCTGGCATGTGTTTTTATATATGTTCTTACAATCTGTGGTAGGTTGACATTGAATTATATTTTTATTGATTTTTAGCTTACAATTACCTTGAAATATAAGATAAACAATGATTGTAGGTGAAGCATTTAGCATTTAATTAACGGAAAGATCTTTAATGAAATATTCAAAACATTTTCCGTATTAATAATTTATTTAATTTACTAGTTGCATACATGTTTTTGAATTTACTACAGTGTTTACAGAAACTGTCTCCGGGTACTGCTATAGGAGTTCATGTTGTGGTGAGGGATGTCAATGCATTTATTCAAGTTCAGTGTATGATTCTCACCATACGACATGTCAATGCCGTAAGTTATGTTTGAAATCATTTCATGTTCTCAATAAATGCGTTTTCCCTAGAAATCAAACAAACAATAGGGATATTATTTTGCTTTTTTAACGTAAGACCAATTTATATTTGTTTATGTTCTGCAATGAATATGGTCGGGGCATATAAAGTTGTCAAGTCCGTCTTCCGTCCTTCTTTCCTACTGTCACTCTTTGCATTTAGCTCAGTTCAAAGCTCAGTCTCCTAGAAACTATCCTAGATATTTTCATCAAGCTTCATATGCTGTTAGATATTGATAAGAGATATGTAACTGCACGAACATTTTCGACCTTGACCTTTCCTTTGACCTTATTTCTACTTTTTTAAAAATTATCTTTAGTATATAGTTTTAAATAAAATTCAATTTGGTGATATCAAACTTTACATGTTGAAACATATTGATGAGAGCTATTCAACTGCATCAACATTTTTTACCTTAACCTTTCATTTATCCTTGAACACACTTTCCATAAATTAGTGTTTAGCTCAGTTTTTAAGAAATCATACAAGATGTTTTAATCAAACTTCATTTGCTGATAAATATACTGACGAGAGCTATATAACCGCATCAACATTTTTGACCTTGATCTTTCACTTTTATTAAGTTAATGTCAAAATTCATATGCCGGTACATAGTGATGTAAGCAATTCAACTGCATCAATATTTTGACCCAGACCTTTCGTTTGACTACAACATCACTTTTATCAAATTGTGTTTAAGTCAGTTTTAATGAAAGCATTCGTAATTTTTTTTCTTCAATTTCATATGCGGATACATACTGATGAGAGCTTTTTAACTGCATCAACATTTTTACCTTGACCTTTTCTTTGACCTTACTTTTTTCATAAATCAATGTCAATCTTCACATGCTTATACAAACTGATGTAAGCAATTCAACTGCATCACTACTCAAAATATTTAGATCAAATGTCGTACACTGATACGAATTTTTATGTTATATTACTAAATTGGAATAGGAAACGATACTGAAGTCACCTTTTAGCCTAAGGTACTAGGATACTTTGAACTCTAACAATGTGTGTCCTAACACCCCCCTCCCCCACTGAACTCATCCCTTTATATACTTACTGTATAAATTCAGACCCTACTTCACAATTTATGAAATTTATCGAAAGAAGATCTAATGTACATCTGTTGATTGAATATGCATCCATATGTTTCAATCATTTTATCTTTTTCATCGCTATCTATTTAGAATTCTTCTGAAACCGGTTCCATCGTGAGAAAAATATGTAGGTAAACGCTATGACCTCTGACCCCCTCATAAGTTCAAACAGAAATGAACATATTTTCTCTTCAATATTGTCATCAAATACAAACAATTGCAAAATAAAACTTTGAAATATGACTGAAAGTTTACTGAAATGCGACTTCAAATTTTCTGAAAGGTAATTGAAATGTAACTGAATGGAAAATAAACGATGACCATTTTACTCACTGTAGAATTTCATCCAGTTACTAAAAAATATTAAATTCAATGGATAGGTTAAACAAGAAAAATAAAAAATGTATAAGTCATTGATCATAAAAGTATAATACTCTTATATTATATATCGTTTACGATAGCCTCAGGAGTCTCTCCTTATAACTACGCGTTATCACCCTGGAGTGAGTGGACCGCTTGTAATGTATCGTGTGGAGGTAATGGTACACAACACAGGTACAGGACCTGTAGAGGCTGTTGTAGTAATCAGGTGTTACAAGAGCCTAGAGACTGTGGCTCAGACGCATGTCAAGGTTAGTACATATAGAGAAAATGGTGTATACTTTACTCTGGAGTTCATATGAACAACAATTTGTGACTGATTTTATTTCATCAGATATGAATTGTTGAACTGCATTCTAATAAAATAAAGAATATTGGCAACTGAATACCTAGACATAATCGTTGCGTTTCTCATATTTCTGTATGGAAGACAATATTTGTCTCTCTTTATCCCTCTTTTGCCTGAGTCGTTAGTGAGTATCTTTAAACATAAATTAAGCCAAGAGATGATGTTTAGCTAGACGTGTATTATCAACTACGCAAAAAATGCGTTCATTAAATATAAAGAAAAGACGACTTCCCTATATAACGCTTACCAATGAATATAACATCCACTAAATGTCTAATTTCTTTCAGAAAACAAAAACAATGTTTTAACTAAGAGTTGTCTCCTTTTACATCCCATTTATAAAAGTCTTGGTGAAAACAAACATTATTATGAGATCGTTAGGAAGTTCTTAAACTCCCCTAACCAGAAGTCTACATCAATCATTCACTGTTGAATAATGTATAAATTATAATATTTTAACCCACTTTATATTTCAGCATTCTTATTTACTTTATGCTTGTGATCTCAAACTAATAAGATATGAACTGATAGATGATATACATGTAAATTATCGATTTTAAATAGTAAATGGATCTTGGACTTCTTGGGGAGGATTCAGTAGTTGTGATAAATCGTGTGGTGGAGGCTGGAAACTAAGGTTCAGAGATTGTACCAGTCCCGCTCCAGCTGATGGTGATCTACCTTGTATTGGTGATTCTGTGGAAGTGATAGGATGTAACATGTTCCACTGTCCAAGTAAAAAATTACCTTAAATTATGGGATTTCTAAAACGTTGTTGTTTTCTGCTGTTTAAAAGATTATCATGAGCTAGAGAATTCAGTTTCTTATATGTGTTTTTATGAGAATTGTGAATTGATCGGATGGCAAGTACATTCTGAATTAATGAAAAGTGCTGAACTGACTGCTACCTGATAAATTATAAATTTATGAAATTTAACTAAGAGCAAATAATGACAGTAATAATAATCTTATTGATATAATGGTAATTTCTGTCGAATTTGATAAGGCGTAACAAAAAAATATGTTTGTTTACGGTTACCCGACCGACCCTAATTTTAATCGCCGACTCAAACTTTTTTTTCGTCATAAAAATCCGGAATTTACTGGCCGGTCAGTTTAACTTTTACATTCATCTTTGAAATCGAAATTGAAAGTACAGAAACAAAACCAGTGAGTTCAAATTCTACATCAACGAGTTCGTTGCAATTTGCTTACCATTGCGTGGCAGTTGCAGGGTGTGCAACTAGCATCACCCAACGCCCGGAGCTACCGTTTTTTGGGGGTAGTAAAAATAAAATTAAAATTATCATGTATAATCATAAATACATGAGGAAACACAAACGGTATTTTCACTCATTGTTTTGCTATTTAATTTCCAACTAATGAAAATTTTCCAGGCAGCATGCTCCTACTGTTCTTAAATCACTTTAATCTCATCCATTTTGCAGTACTACCTGACTTATTTACTTAGAAAACGATCGTTTTTTTCCTAATCCGAATTTCCTCCATTCCTCTGTTAATGGTAAATACATGCAGATATCTCTTTCAATTATATACGATCCACCAATCAACTGATAGTTAAGTGTTATGTGATTAAACTTTAATATATGTCAATTATACTTAATGGTTTGAAATGAAAATAAAATGATTTTTGCTTCATTTTAGATAAGCTAGACTTGTACAATATGTTCAGAAAAGAAAAGATAATTTCTTAAATTTTTAAACTTCAACTTTAAAAGGAATGGCTTAGGACCCTGGCTTTCTCAACAATGAACTTTTTTAAATCTTAGTTTTTATAATTTTTTTTTACCCTATGTTTGGACTGGTCACTTTTAACTTTGGACTAGTAACTTTATTGCTGTTACCATGGTTACAAGCCTGTGGGTTAGTACTTGATTTTTTTTTTAATTGCACACCCCTGAATTGTAGGGCAGTTGGCAAGAACGATTATATTGTCTACCACCCATATTACAAGCCCAAACAAAAGTAAGGCACCATACAATGGTAAAACTGTCTTGTAATTTTTTATAATTTTTTTTTTACCCTATGTTTGGACTGGTCACTTTTAACTTCGGACTAGTAACTTTATTGCTGTTACAAGCCTGTGGGTTAGTACTTGATTTTTTTTTAATTGCACACCCCTGAGTTGTAAGGCAGTTGGCAAGAAAGATTATATTGTCTACCACCCATATTACAAGCCCAAACAAAAGTAAGGCACCATACAATGGTAAAACTGTCTTGTAATTCCAATTCATGTGAATTTGTGTATAAAAAAATTCAATAAAATAAAAAAAAAATCCTACCTACCGACCCTATTTTATTTCAGCATGTAACAGTAAACAAAGTTATTTTTTTGTTTGGCCTAAACTTTTAAAAGTTGACGGAGGATGGTCTTCATAGTCCAACTTCAGTAAACATTGTAGCGGTAGTTGTGGACTAGGTTTACATCTCAGAACTCGCACCTGCTCCCAGCCGCATCCTAAATACGGGGGTCATAAGTGTACAGGAAACTCAACAGAAGGCATTCCCTGCAATCTCACAGCCTGTCCAGGTTTCCTATTCATGACTTTCTGCAGATGTGTTTTTTTTAAAAATACTTCCTTACTCCATTATTATATGTAATGATCAGGGAAAAACGAATTTTAGTAGCTGTATACATTGCACAATGTATTTCAATATTTTTGAAGAAAAACTGACGCTTGTCAATATGAAAAATTTTGGAAGAATTAATCACCTTTCACATGTTAATTTTATAGCTTTTTAGAATATACGCATAAAAGTACTGTATTGACCTTTAATTTAAGATATAAACAAAAAAATAAAACTCATCTTTTTTTCGATAACTTGTCTTGAAATCATATTAAAGCATATATTGTAATGTTTAGTTGATGGCCTTTGGGGTCAGTGGGGACACTTCCGTCCATGTGACATGTCATGTGGCGGAGGAATACATATCAGAGTAAGGCAATGTAACAATCCACCACCATCTCACGGAGGACGTCATTGTACCGGTAGGAATTTGGAATCTGACCAGCCCAGGTATAAACTACACAAGTAAAGTAATTAAGAATTGTTTTCCTATAACTGGCAGTTATTTATCAAAAGTCTACAAAAGATAATAATTGCTTTCTTTTAATTCACAGATCACATGGAATCCACTGCTTCTTCGGCTACAAAACATTTTATACAAGGCCCGGTTTTTGTTGGATGAAACATGTATGATATCCAACGAAAGTTATTAAAACAATAAACATGCATTCACAAAACATGTCGTTTTAAACGTAACGGGTAAATACAGACATGGCAAAAGAGAGGGCAAAAGTACATCATTAGTTTGTTTCGATGTCACCCAATTAAATAATGAAAAAAAAAATACTTTTAAGGACAGATGATAGAAAAGACTTTTGTCAGAAAAATTGGAAATCACAACTTTGAGTCATGATCAAGTTACTGTTATAATGATAAATATATTATATACCCCCTTAAACCAGCAAAATATGGGATTTGAAGTGAAAAATATTCATGTAGATTACTAAGGATGGTTTCTGACAGGCAAAATTTTGAACATCGTAGGAGGTTTACCATTTCTTTGAATTCTAGAAATTTATTATTTGCATTATTTGGAAAGATATTGACCAAATAAAAGGATAACACTTAAAGCTGTGTTTGGGGTCTTTGTCGATGACTGTTTGGCTTTTAAATCCTAACTTAATATCTTTTTAATATATTTATTTACTACAGAAGTATGTCAATTTGAAACCTAATTTAAATGTTAAAAATAATTTCAGACTGTAATACAATATTTATTTTCATGTTTATGTCCTTACAGTTTTCGAAATATAGAGAATTTATAATTATCTGCCCTTGATTGAACAATATGCATGTACGAGAGGTGGAGCTAATGTCGTAAGAATAGATCTAAAATTAGACCGGATGAATAACAATGATATATATTTAAAAAAAAACCGAAATCTCTGTATGGCACAAGTACATTATTTACAAAGGTTTAAAACGTATGAATTAGTTAGTAAAGAATACTTTAAATCGATTGCTGACTACTTGACGTGTTCGAGTACAGTGTCCTACTTATCTTAAAACATGCTAGCAGTAAGTCACGTGAGGGAATTTAGTATTCACAAAATTACTTGAGGAATGAATTATAATATTCAACGTGTCACAGCCCTTAGTTACAACAAGAAAGCGAGTGTAAGAAGTAGCCGTTTTTTCACCTTTTAAAAATGAGAGCATGTTTGTCTATTAATTTCCTTTTAACACAACATTACATATCCAATTATACAACTACTGTTAAAAGGAGAATAATAAACAAACATGTGCTTTTTATGTATAAAGCCAGTAAAAAAGTGTGGACAATCTCATTATCGTACGGAGATTGAAGAACTTTTGATGACCTCAGCCTCAGAAAACAGATTTGTACATCATACATGTAGATACATACTTTTATATATTGTAATTAAGTAAAGTTTTAGATTAGGTGTTGATCATTTCTGCTATTAAAAGAAAAATGTCTATTCTGAAAGTTTTTTTGACGCTAATTTCGCAAATCATCAGTTGCAAGTGCAGTCATCCTTTGAAGTCTCAAACATCATATGCTGGTGTCGGGATATTACATCACAAATAAAGAATGAAAATGGAATGGATAAATCCAGCTTGTTAGAAATGAAATTAAGTTGATAGTAGGTTCAATTAGAAAGCTAGTATTAAATCGATTTTGTAAACGGATGGTGCCTTTTACCAATTTCGCTTGACTTATCGAGTCGAAATATGTGAGTAAACATTTGCTTATTGATAAAACCTTATTGAAAGCTGGAGCCACGGACGTATGGTTGTGTGACGAAGTGGTGAAACTAAATGATCCAAGGTCGGTCCAATATTTGATGCTTTAGTTATTCGTCAATCTTACGAAACGATAACTTTTGCATAGATGCAAAAACGTAGGACCGTTGAATCCATTGTGTAACCAAGCAGGGATGAAGAACGCAGGTTCAATTTAATAAATTTATTAGGAATGAAAAAGCAATGGCAGATCTACAAATACAAAAACATATATACAATATCATAATACACATAGACACTGAGACAAAATACTTTTATTTCATATTCACTTCAAAAATAAGAAAATTTAAGTTCACTAAGCCAAAAAACGTCAATTTCATAGTTTAAAATATCTTTCTCTCAAAAATATGAAAAACACTTGAGCTTATGACTTGGACTTAATAAATAAAATACAAAAATTTAATAGACTAAGAAAATTACCTTTCAAGTGGTGACAACGGGCAGCTGGTAATATGTAAGTTAAATTTCCCGCACTGACAGGGATGGGCCCATGCCTCAGTATATATAGCAGAAAAACCGGTTAAACAAGGGGGTACAAATTTACTGGCCAATGAGATTTTGTGAGTAGAATTCATGAATGGAGACTACTACCAAATATGGCATATAGTAAATTATGGCTCAGTAAGTTATTCAATAAAGATAAAAAAAATTATTTTAAATAAATATGACTTCGCCACATACTCCCCAGCTTTAAATTTAGCGTCTCGATAAATGAAAAATATATATTCTATCAAAATACATTTTTCAATAATAGCCACATACTCTCCAGAAAAATATACATATGAACATCAAAAGTAACAAAAAGTTTTTGCATATGTAATAGCGTTATTTAGGAAACACATCTCGTCACATCACGGCGGTTTAAGGTTTTCTGGCTGCCATCGTCTGACACAACACTAACGACATTTCCTGAAATATTCACAACACGATACACAGTAGAGTCCCATGAATCTTGAATTTTGTTTCTGCCGCGGATTTGACGGTTTCGAACGTACACTTTGTCATCAGTATTCAATTCCGGGTCAAAGGCTTTTCTGTCGTTGGTCAACTTCATGTTTTTGACCATCAGAGACGTATGATCACTTGCTTTGTTGAACGCGTACTTTAGTCGGTCCTGGTGAGATTTGATCCATTCGTTAGTCGTCATCTGATCATCATCGTCACTGTCCAAAGCTCCAAGTAGAAAATCGATGGGTATCTTGGGAGGACGTCCAAACATAAGATAAAACGGGCTGTATCCGGTTGTTGAATTCTGTGTTGCGTTGTAGGAAAATAGTAATTCGGGCAGATGTTTTGGCCAATGTCGCTTTCGGTCAGGTGTAAGACTCTTTAATAAGTTGTGTAGGGTTCTATTAAATCTTTCGCACTGGGCGTTTCCTTCTGGGTGGTAAGGTGTGGTTCGAGATCGTGTAATTCCATACATCCTACACAGTTGAGCAATGATATTTGCTTCAAAATTTCGGCCTTGATCCGAATGAATACGATCGGGAACACAATACTTGAAGAACCATTCGTTTAAAAGAACATTCGCAACCGTATCTGCCTTCTGGTCCTTTGTTGGAACAGCTTGCGTAAATTTTGTAAAGACATCAGTCATCACAAGAACGTTTTCTTTTCCATGCGCTGGTTCCAAAACAGTAAAATCGATTGCTAGAATTTGCAGAGGTCTAGATGCGATGAGGTGGCTCATTGTAGTGCGTATAGCTGGTTGAGGCATCTTGGAAATTACACAACGTTCACAGCGCTTACAATAATCCTTCACAGAATTGAATATTCCAGGCCAATCACATCTTGAACGAACAGCAGAAAATGTGCGCTCTATCCCTTGATGGCCAAAGTTGTCATGACAACTGAATAACACTTTTTCACGTAATGATCTTGGAAGAATAAATTGTTTTAAATCCCCTAGTATCGGATCTGTTACCACTCTGTAAAGAATTCCTTTCACAATTACAATTTTATCCCACTGTCTTACTAATGTAATCACAGATCTTGGTAATTTTCTGATTTCTGTTTTTGTTGGTTTAGATCCTTTATTGAAAATCTTCAGAAATGTTGCCAAGTCTGAATCAGCTGACTGAAGAGACTGTATTTCATCTGGTTTAAGAGATGAAAAGTGTCGTAAACTTCATTCACAATTACACTTGAAATACTTTGTTTCTGTAGATCCGAGGGTAGTTTCGTAGAATCTGAGAACTTCTCTAGTAGAATCTCTAAATCACTTTGCCGCGATGAATCATCAGGATCACTGATACGTGAAAGAGCATCTGCGTTTTCGTTATGGCGGCCTGGTCGGAATTTCACATCAAAGTTAAACATAGCCAATTTTGAAATCCAGCGTTGTTCAATTGCACTGAGTTTTGATGTGTTAAGATGACACAACGGGTTGTTATCAGTGAACACTGTGAATTTTGATCCCAATAAGTAATCTTTGAACTTTTCTGTTATTGCCCAGGTTAATGATAGTAATTCCAGTTTTCGAGAACTATAATTTTGCATATTCCTTTCACTTGGTCTCAAGGATCTGCTAGCATAGGCGATGACATGTTGTTTTCCGTCTTTGACTTGCGATAGAATGGCTCCTAATCCTAACATACTAGCGTCTGTTTCAAGAATAAACGGCTTTTGGAAATCTGCATATCCTAAGATAGGAGAACTCACAAGAAGCTTTTTCAATGTAGTAAACGCATCGTCACACTGAGAATTCCATTTATTTCCAAACGGTTTCCTTGGATAAGGTGTAAACTGCTGGGACAACTTGTGTAATGGCGATGCTATATTACTAAATCCTTTCACAAAACGTCTATAGTGTCCTGCTAATCCAAGAAATGACTTGAGTTTTTTCACAGTTGTCGGTTTTTCAAAATTTTGCACAGCACTTATTTTTTCTGGGTCAGTTTTGATTCCCTCGGAGGATATGACATGTCCGAGATAACGAACTTCACTTTGAAAAAAATTGCACTTTGACATTTTCAACTTTAATCCATGTTTCCGGATGATTCTAAACACTGTCTCTAATCGCTTCAAATGTTCTGGAATGTCTTCTGAATAGACGATAATATCGTCCAAAAACACAAGTAAAATGTTAAATATCTCATCCCTGAAGCAGTGTTGCATTAACCTCTGAAACGTCGCAGGGGCGTTGCACAAACCAAACGGCATACGAAGATATTCATACAGACCCATTGGCGTTGTGAATGCCGTTTTTTCGATATCATCTTCATGGACAGCTACTTGGTTATAGCCACAGGTAAGATCCATTGTCGAGAAAAATTTCGCAACGCATAGAGCATCAAATGATTCTTCTACTCTGGGTAGTGGATAGGCATCTTTGTGAGTTTTGCTGTTAAGTTTACGGTAGTCCACACATAAGCGGAGCGAATTATCTTTCTTTCTGACTAACACAATCGGTGATGCGTATGGACTTGTACTCTCCCTTATAATATTGTTGTTCAACAATTTACAAATATGTGATTTCACTTCTTCATATTGTGATGGGGGTATTCGTCTGTAAGGTTGCCCTATAGGCTGATCGTCTGTTGTCCGAATAGTATGTTTTATGGCTGTAGTATATCCTATATCGTCATCATTTTGAGAGAATACATCTTGATTTCGGTAGAAAAGAGTGCGAATTTCTTTCATCTGTGCAGGATCTAAATTCAACTTTTCTATTTCCGGTGGAATTTTGAAATCACT